ATCATATATTTTTCACGTGCTCGTTGTGCTCCTTGGAAAAGGAAGCCTGATTATGCTTCAGCCTCTTAAATCAACAGCACACATACAAACTGGTAGGGGACTGAGTAGCGTCAGGTGTTTAAAACACTGAAATCGTGTTTTTTCGACGTGCTCTGGACCACCTGGGTGTGACGCGGCCCCGCCGGAGTCCAAGGGCTGCTCGCAGGCCAGCAGCGCTCCCTTTCCTTTTGACACCGTATGGATTCTTGGCATCTTTCACTCCTAGATTAAATTACGGTGCTCTGGGACTGCTGTCTAACGGCAGCTACTTAAGTTATTAGAGTAGAACTGTGACAACATCTTGGTGCTCCTTATCTCTTTATTCCGAGCTCACTTTTTAGTGCACCGCACTCTCTATCAGCAGTTTTCATTCCTCCTCCTTTAATCTTACCTCCAGCCTTCAGTGTGCTCGAACGGCTCCTTTCAGCGCTGAGGCGGTGAAACTCCCGATCCAGCTCTGCGGGGATGCTACAGAGCGAGCGGTGACGTTTCCCCACGGTATAAGCACGTTACCTTTGCTGTTTCACTCTTCCATCAGCCTGGGGCATCTTGTCTGCTCCCAAATCAGGGTTTTCCTCCCAGCAGCACACGCCGGCAGCTCTTCTGGCAAGTGGACACGCCGCAACCGTGGCTCGGGGTGTATAAAATACCCCGTTAAACACCGGCCGCTCGCTAAACCCGCCTTGGACGGGGGAGGCTGAACTCGGGGCACCCGACTGCCCCCGCGCTGCCTCAGCAACCGGGTTTCTGGCGAAGGGACCGCGATGGCGCCTGCACGGTCCCGATCCGGAGGCCCCTACACCTCAGAGTAAATCCCGCTCCCCTTTTCCTCCGCGGGAGGACTCAACGCGCCGCCGGCGTAAGGATGCGAATGCGAAGGGCACCTTTGGTGGGGACGACCCAACAGCCCTCTAGACAACACCCAGCACATGAGCAAAGCCAGTCCTTTAAAGGGGGATTACTATCAGCTCCTGAGTTATTTTTAACAACCTTGCGTAAAGACTCGCTGTTTTTAGTAATCGCAGAATCATTTTCCTTACGTGCTCAAATCTCTCCCGATTGTTTTTCTCCACGCAGAAAGGGAAGTAAGTAAAGTACGGTGATAGAAAAGGTCACACTCTCCAAACCATAAAAAAAAGTAATGTCATCTCCTCTAGTGCTGGAGGTTAAATACTTTAGTGAGAAGTGTCAGGGATGTAAGAGGACATTGACTGAAGCGTTGGCCCCTTCCTTAAGCAACTGTCTTTGTGCAGCGCCTCGAATCCCCCAGCTCGGGGACCTCCTGGAAGCGGGGTCAGGGGGTGGGAGGTCACCTATCGCGCGGCCACCAGTTCAAGAGAAGATGTGGCAGCAGCCGCTCACCAGGGACCACGCCAACCAAAATCACAGCAACTTCCCCAAGCGCTGGAGAGGCCTGTCAGGCGTGCAGAAAACGCAGCCGCTTCTCCCTCCGTATCAGGAATTCAAACAAAAAATCGCAGCAACGGGGAATGTTTGCCTCCAGGCCTGTTTGCTAGTGCAAAAGTGTTGCGACCTGCTGATGGAGACAGGTGGAACGAGGGAGGAAAACGTGAGCATTATAAATAAATAAATAAATAAATAAATAAACAACAGCAAGGAGAATATTGAATTTAAATATTGCTAGCAGAGAACTCCACCAGCAGACTCAGCTGGAAATTATCTCAGACACCATGCTACAAAAACCGCTTCCTTTTTAAAAGGAAAATGATCTAATCAAGATGTATGTGCATGGCAATATACTCGCAGGGAGAGTACGTTGGAGTTATCCGCTTCAATTTGTGCACTGACTGTGTTCTTGTCCTGGCAAAGGCCGCGAATAATAAATATAAACCAGCTCTTTCCAAACCTGGATCTGAGTTGAGTGACTCAGCTGACATTCCGAGTTGCATGTGAAGTATGTGAAGGGGAAGTTGCAAGGTAAAAATATTGGGGCTATTTCTGAGTGTTTCTGTAGGAGAGGCTGCCGGCAGCCAGCGGTCGCTCGGTACCCGCAGGGATGCTGAGGAGTGTCTGGGAGGGGGACTTGCTCGTCATCCCTCGGGACGAGCAGGGAACCCGGAGGCTTTGGGGACCCCTGAGCTCGCGGGTTTATGTCCTCCCGCCAAAAGTTTGGCTCAAAACAATGGGACTGGCCAAAACAATCCTTTTTTTTCCCCTTGCTTCTATTCACCCTCTGTGAATCGGAATTAAGGGGCTTGTCGGGGCTCGGACATCCCGGGGCTCAGACCCCTCGTCCCTCCCCTGCGGGGTCCAGAGCCACAGAAGCTCCGGGTGGAAACCCAACGCAGAGAGCACACCCCGGCTATTCCAACAGCTCTTTCCTTCCCTTCAGATTATATATTTCTGCAGCATAAATTATGAAAATATGAAATGCTCCTGTTGGAGCAGCTCTGTGAAAAATGAACTTTGGCCACAAACAGCAAATCAAGCAGGGAACGAGATAAAAAATGATGCAGGCCGCCATTTCTTCTCAGGTAAAATGAGTGGTCCCAGGTGTCAACACCTCGTAGACCTGCCTAGCTGCGTTTTGAACCCAATAAATAATAGATTTTTAGCATGTTTTTATTTGTCCGCTTTGTTTTGCGTGGAATTATACCCACGGTCTGCTTAGCTGCGTGGCATCACCAGCGAGCAGAAGTTGTGTTTGGCTGGCCGAATTTGCTTAGCGACCAAATGCTCACTTTTCATAAGGCACAAACGTTTAACGGCTCTTTTACTAATCGGAATTATAGAAGGTATAGGTAGGACCTCATTTATTATTTATTGCTTTTATTTCAGTGTAATAGCTGTGGAATTTAGACATGAAATAAGATACGTGGTTTTAAAAATAACCCCCCAGGCCCTTGTTCTAGTCTATCAGCGCAAAACAGAAGCTGGCCACCATGCCATCACTGATCCCAGAAAGCAAGAATTTGGGGGATAATTAAATTAATTCGTTAGTGCACCCTGAATATTAGCAGCCTCAGAAGATCTTTGCTACCTGCAACCCTCCATTCCAGCACTCTGTTAAAAAGTAACACTGAAAACACGCTTCACTAGCTGCCTTTTTTTTTTTTTTTTTTAAATTTTTTTTATTTTAAGGGATAGATTTATCTCCTAATTTTGCTCTTGTTTCACAGTCTTTTATAGGACTCTTGGACAGTTTATAGATGCCAGCTGACACCTGTAAAGTTCACCTGAAGCTGTTCAGCAATTTAAAACACCGCGATGCAATTTATCTAGAACTCTTAATGCACAAAAAAGGGAAAAATTGATTAGAGTGGATGACGAACTCTTCTGTTCCGTCTCTATAATGTGGATGTAAACCTGTCAGGTTTTACAACCGCCCTCACACTGCTTCAATTAAACATCTCTTTTGAGGGGAGACTGGGCATTTCTCTCCCAGACTGGGGCCTGGCTGCTCCCGGCACCCCAGGTCACTCTGGGACAGGGTGCGAGGCATCATCATCATCGTCATCATTGTCATCATCGTCATCATCATCATTATCAGCAGCAGCATCAAGGTGACAGCTCACCTGTGGCTATGTGGTGTTCTGCAGTTTTAACTTGGTAACACAAATTAGCAAAAGAGTCAGAATCATAGAAATGAGAGGGGGGAAAAAAATCTGATTTTATTACTTTGAGAGCCTTTACCCGCGCCAAGCTGCCTGGGCAGCCCCGAGCCCAGCGGTTTGTCCAGCCCTTTGTTCAGATGACCCCAGCAATGGGCCCTCGGTGGCGTCCCCACAGCAAACATTCCTCACGTTAATTGTTGGGGTTTTTTTTAGCACCTTAAAACTTTCTGTGACACGCTCAGATACTCAAAATAAAGGGACGACCAAACAAAAAAAAAAAAAAAGCGACTTGCAAGATGTCCTTTATCTGTCCTGTGGTCTTTTTCCTTTAAAGCTTATATTTTCAAACTAACTTAAATATTCAGGAAGGCCTAGTGATTATATATTTATTTCAGCGGGAAGCCGAGAGGCTCCCGTAATCAGATGGCTGTAGCATCTGTAAATCTGAGCGAAGCGCTGAATCTCGCGCTAATCCTGCTATTCACAATTATGTCAAGTTTGATCATCTGAAAAAAGCCGCCTGCTTGCTTGGTATTTATCATCTTTCAGACAGTAGCAGACAGTGATCTTTTACTCCCTCATGCAACATTTCAGCAAGCGTTATATATTTCAGAGACATTTTCGTGTATGTATATGCTACGAATTGTATGCAATATTCCAGAATGGTTCCACCAGTAGCGTACAGGGAAACATTATAGTATTAACCACCTCTCACCTCGCCCATTACTGTGTTGCTTTTCCTAACATACCGCAGTATAAGAAGCATCTGATTTCCTGTTTAAGTGCCATATAATCACTTGTTACACATAACAGCACACTTCCTTTTAATGTTTAAATCCTGGGAGCTGCGATTTCCAGAGGCCTCGTGACGGCTTCAGCGATCATCTATGAATCGTTGAGCCCACCAGACCTGATCCCGGGAATAAAACAGCCTGCAGGGCTTCACTGAAGTCCTCCTTGAATACGGACACAACAAATAATATGGATTTTTTTTAAAAAAGGAGGTAACGGAGAATGCGCAACAACTCCGGGTAAGCGTTTTTTAGTGAGTAATTGCTCCTACTGATGTGGTTTTCTCCTGATTTTCTATACAAATGGACCAAACTTCCACTGTTAGGACCTGGGCCTTGTGCTCACGCCTGCCCTGACTGGGGGGATTTGTTGCTCAGTGAATTCCTCATGGTGTTTGGACCCGGGCACAGACTGGATGAGTTGCCAGAGACCTGAGCAGTGGCTGAACCACAGAATCCCAGAATCATCCGGGTTGGAAAAGCCCCTGCAGCTCCTCCAGTCCAACCCTGAACCTCCCCCTGACCGTTCCCAACTCCCCCAGATCCCTCAGCGCTGGCTCAGCCCGACTCTTCAACCCCCCCAGGGATCCCGGGGACTCCCCCCTGCCCCGGGCAGCCCATTCCAACGCCCAACAGCCCCTTCTGCACAGAAATCCTTCCTCAGAGCCAGCCTGACCCTGCCCTGGGCAGCTTGAGGCCATTCCCTC